CTTATCGCTCTTTTTTGTAATATATTATATATATTATATAATAATATATAATATTTGTTATTTCTGTCTTTTATAATAGAGATTTTATTACAGCCTCCTCTGCTCTGGGTTCTGTTATTGGCAGTGGGGCAACTGGAGCTCACTCTTACTGGTCCACTAACCACCAGCATGGGCATCTATGCACGAAAGAGAAGCTGCATATTCCAGTGACAGTGAATAAATCTATCAGTGAGAGACATCTGATAAAAGCTGGCATTAATGCAAGACTTAGTTTTTCTTTTAATAAAATGTGTTTGGTTCCTAATCATACAGTAGATTCAGCAATGGAAGTGCTATCAGTGGTAGGAAACAGCATTAACAAAAGGGCCCAGAATTAAACATCTTACAGGCTTGATATAATACTGTCATCTGCTGAAATATCAGGTGAAATGCACTTATTGTTTTTTTTGTTTGTTTTGTTTTTTTCTAATCTTATTTGTTGGTTTCTAGTTCCTTCTTGACAGTGGTTGACCTTTTCATTTTTACATTCATTTATGTCTCTTTTTGTCTTGCAGGTATTTTATTTTCAACATTAGTGTTTGGCCCAGCTTGTGGCTTCATCTTAGGCTCTATCTGTACCAAAGTCTACGTTGATGCTGTCTTCATCGACACCAGTGAGTTGGAATTTCTTACTTCTTGAGATGCGTTCTTGAATTTTGTTTATTGTCATAGCAGTAGTTATAAACATACATTAAAGAAGATGTAACAGGCTAAATTTACTCCAACTGGAACCCAGTTTCTTCATAATTATCTATGAAATTTCATTTTACAACATCATTCAGCTTTTATTCCCCTACTTCCTGTCAGGTAAGTTAGACATCACTCCAGATGACCCTCGCTGGATCGGGGCGTGGTGGGCCGGCTTCCTCCTCTGCAGTGCCTTACTCTTCCTGTCGGCTCTCTTTATGTTCGGATTCCCCCAAGCGCTAGGCGAGCAGGACATAGATGTTGGAGGGGAGAGTGAGCAGGCCATGCTGCCTTCTTCCCTAACTCTGGAGTACCAGGACAATAAACTCAACAGGGCCATTCATGGTTTTGATATGAACAGTGGACTCTCAGTTTGTGAGCATCTGAGAGGTAAGGGGGAACAGAGGGAGGTGATGGTGAGACAAAAAATGTTGAAGGAAGCTGTTAAGGTACAAATTGTCCTTATGGTTTTTTTTTTTTTACAAATTTTTTCTGTTTTCTCTCTACTGACTCAGTAATCCCTCGCGTAACCAGGCATCTACTCTCCAATCCGGTATTCAGCTGCATCACGCTGGCAGCCTGCATGGAGATTGCTGTAGTTGCTGGCTTTGCAGCCTTCCTAGGCAAATACCTGGAGCAGCAGTTCAACCTTACCACCTCCTCAGCCAATCAGCTGCTAGGTAGGCAGGTCATAAGCTTGTCTCATTGCCTTTTTGGTTGCAAACATAATGTTTTACCATTAAAGTGTAAGTGCAAAAGAAGCAGGCTAAGGTTAAACAAACTGTAATAGAAATATTGGTGCAGCACAGAAACCTCTAATAAGGAAAATGCCTGTAAAGTTTGTGAACTCTTTTGTTTCACCTTCCTAAGGTATGACAGCTATACCCTGTGCCTGTCTGGGTATCTTCCTTGGGGGACTGCTGGTTAAGAAGCTGAACCTGTCTGCTCTGGGTGCTGTCCGTATGGCCATGCTGGTCAACCTGGTGTCCACTGCCTGCTATGTCTCTTTTCTCTTCTTGGGCTGTGACACCGGACCTGTTGCTGGGGTTTCAGTGACCTATGGCAACGAGTAAGAGCGATAAACCACTGACATGTATGAGGGATCTATGCAAGAATTTTTAGTTCTGTGTGGGAGTTACTCTTGTTTTTCCACATATTAGTATGCTTGTTTGCAATTTGACAAGAAACATGTTGTAGTTATTTATGACTTGCACACCAAACATACAACTTTTTTGCATAGCTGTAGCTATTATTACTTTTGTATTTCTTCAATTTTTTTCTGCATAAACAATCATCAATGTATTACTGTGACATTTTTAGGGAAACACACTTATTCACTATCCTGGCAAAAATTTTAGAAAATTTGATGGTTGTTGAATATTGCAGGTGAGGAAACACACTTATTCACTATCCTGGCAAGAATTTTAGAAAATTAATACCCCTGTCATATGTGTACAGGAAAATCTGAAGCAGATTTGAAGCTTAAAGACGGTAAGCAAGGTGAAACAGCTAGCCTTAATCTGTCCAAAAGTCATATTTGACAAAGACATAGGGGAGCTATATCAATCTTGGTGCGAAAGCAAATAAGCATGTTTCTCATAATATTCCGTAGTCCCTTCTTATTCTTTTGTCAAATTACAGATAACAGAACATGATCAACATAACTAGGCATTAATGGAGTCCAAAATCTGGTTTACAGCAGGGCAAATAAGTATTTGATACACTGCTGATTTTTCAAGTTTTCCCACTTACAGAGAATGGACAGTTCTGTAATTTTCATCGTAGGTACACCTCAACTGTGAGAGACAGAATCTACAAAAAAATTCCAGAAAATCA